GAGATATGAAATGATCCCACTCTTTCAGTGTTTTCGTAAGCCTGCCTCTGAAGCTGCTGCTGCTTCGGGTGACACTGCAAACAGATGACAGGTACGTTAACATTATAGAAACGACAGAAAATGAACCAGATAAGGCTGATAGGCTATTATCCTACGCGGTACAGAAAATGAGGCTGATGCTATCGTAGCGTTACCTGGTACGTCAAAGTAGCATATACCTTATCATTAACGTAACTGTAACAGCAGGGGATTGTTGGCATGTAAGAACAATGAGTGATTTCAATAAACAAAAAGTTAATATTAAGTGACTTACACTGTCTGACTATAACAGTATTGCCTGATTTTGCTCTATTTTGTCAACTAAAAAAGTTTCAAACAAATTCACAACTGAGCCGCTGCACATCTCCATTCAAACACAGCATTGTTTGGTTTATGAATGAATCTGCATTTTTAAACGAATCTAGTGAGTCAATTCAATTACCCATTCATAAAGACAGTCACGTGCTTTGTTCCTGAATGAATCAGCCGTTCGAACGAATCAATTGAGTGAATGATTCAGTGATAAAATCAGTAACTTGCCGCCACCTAATGGCAGTTTTAGTTTGTCATTTTCTTAACTTATTCTCAACATGAATTTATGAAGTTAATTGCACTCATGCCACCTCTGAGCCTCATTAAATGTCTGTAAATAGCTACAAGCCACTTTTGTGTTCTTCTGTGCGACCTCTGTAGTGCAAATTAATTTTGTTAATACTGATTTTATTTGATTAGTAACTTATTATACTTATTCCATTGTTTTAATTTGAAATTTTGACAAAAGCTTATAAAAATACACTTTTGAATTTGACATAAAAGATAACATATATAAAGTTAGAAAAAAAAATGCCCATGTAGATCACTTTAAGGAGTCCAATATTACTTCGTAATGGGAAGGCTAATTTTTGTTATTGTTCAGAAGGTGTTCCTGAATTTTTTTTCTGTGCTCCTAATTTTTTTATTTATTTATTTATTTATTTTTTTTCAAATTAGCAGCACAATTGCTCCTAAAAATAAAAGTAAGCGTTTAGTCCCTGTTTAGTGAGTGGTGGTGCTTATGAGGTGCTGCTCTGGGACAGGTGAGTATGAAGCTGGGAGGGAAAAATCACAGTATACTCACTACAAAAAACTAGACTACACCACTGCCTCACACCACAGGAAAATCTGATAAGATAATCTTTAGAACCATCAAGATAATCGGGACATTACCTAGGATTGTCGGAAGGGGAGAAATCGGCCCAAAATCAGCCCGATTATCTTATGGTGTGTACCCAGCATAAGGAATCTAATGCATAATGACCTTATATAGTTAATGAATAGTTAACCCAAATTTGCACAGCAGGATAAAAGTCATACAGGTTTGGAACAGCATGAGGAAGAGTGAATAATGACTGTTGATAGGTGAACGATTCCTTTTAAATTTGGTAGGTAGGTCTTGAATGATCAAGCTCTGTTCTTTACACCCACAGAGCTACAGAGATTCCAACATCTGTAATTCTGAGAAGTATACGCCCACATCTTCTTGGATTCATTCTCATCACTGTCAGCATGTTCTTCAAACCCACTTAAGCTTCGCAGGAAGCAAATTAAGCATGTCTCCTTATTCAACACCCTCAATGTAATCAAACCCTCAAGTGAAGAAAATTTGATCTGGACTTGGTCGAG